TTATTTTCAAAGTGAACTTGAAAGGGAGTTAGAAATGTCTGATTTTATTTCAGTTTCATTTGACGAAAGTTTAAACAAGGTATGTATGTAGATTCGTAAAATGTTGATTTGTTTAATGATATATTATAATTATTATACTTATAAAATAATATGGTTATGGATTGTCAGAATTAAAAATTTTCTTAGATCGTTTAGTTTTTATAATTAATATAGGTTTGCGAAAAACAACAAATGGATCTGATCGTTCGCTATTGGTGTGAAATAAAAAATGAAGTTAAAACTAGATATCTTACATCTACATTTTTAGAACATGCAACAGCATCCGATTTACTAAAAGCTTTCAAAGAGAATACGTCAGAAAATATTTTGTCAAAATTAATACAGATTTCAATGGACGGTCCTAACGTGAATTTTAAATTTCTACGAGAATTGAAAGAAGACTTAGCTCAAAATCCAGAAAGAAAAAAATTAAGTGAAACTGGAAGTTGTGGACTTCATGCAATGAATAATTCCTTTAAAGCAGGTATAAAAGCTACTCAATGGGATGTCGTTGCTTATTTACGAGCTTTATATAATCTATTTAAAAATGTTCCTTCTCGAAGATCCGATTATATAAGTGCATCAGAGTCATCTAAATTTCCGCAAAAATTTTGTTCCGTTCGTTGGTTAGAAAATGGTGCAGTATCTCAGCGTGCTCAGGAAGGTTTACCAAATATTCAAAAATACGTAGAAAAAGTTACAAAAGACAAAAAAGAACCAAATTGCGCTAGTTTTAAAACCGTTTCTAATTCATTAAAGGATGCACTTTTGGGTCCAAAACTCTTGTTTTTTCAAACTCTTGCAGCTGATATTCAACCATTTTTAACCAAATTTCAATCAGATAATCCTTTGGCACCATTTCTTTATTCTGAGATATCAATTGTTTTACAATCCGCTTTTAGACGTTTCATAAAATCAGAAGTTTTAGAAAATAATTCCTTGTTAAATATAGATTTCCTAAATGCAAAAAATCAGTTGACTGACAAAGAAATTAATATTGGGTATGTAACCAACTCAGCACTTCGAAAATGCAAAAATGTAACAGAGCTGGAAAAATTACAATTTAAAGAACAATGTAGAAAATGTATGATTGCGTTTGTATCGAAAATTATAGAGCGATCACCTATAAAATATCGATTAGTAAGAAGCATAACATGTTTTGATCCTGCGATTGCACTTCAAAAAAAACGGCAAATAAGCGATTATCTAGTCTTCTTAAAACCTGTGTTGAAGATCAGATTCTAACTGGCCTAACTGCTGACAAGATTGATCAAGAATATAATAGTCTTTGTGAACAATCAATTGTTGTTGAGAAAATGAAAATTTTCGACCAGTCTACTGACAGATTAGATCACTTTTGGTTTAGTATTGTTAACGCGTGTAATGAGAAAAATTATAAAAATCTTTTGTTTTTAATAAAGCATGTAATGGTCCTGTATCATGGAAACGCGGCAGTGGAGAGAGGATTTTCCGTGAACAAAGATTGTATTGTTGAGAATCAAAAACCAAAGAGTTTAATAGCTCAAAGAATAATATATGATTCAATCCATTCAGTAGGGGGTATCGAAAATGTTACAATTACCAAAAAAATGATTCTTTCAGTTCGAAATGCCCCTTCTTTATATAAAGAAGCACTTGCTGAGGAAAAGAAAAGTAGAGAAAAAGATAAAGCTGAAAAAGAGTCAAAAAGAAAAGTTGAGAAGAAATTAAAGGAACTGAAAGTATTAAAACAAAAAGTGTTTCAAGATGCGATGAAAGAATCTGTTCACATCGATGAACAAATGGAAGCGCTAAAAAGGGTCTGATTGTAAAATAAGTCAAATGAAAAGTATTTAACAAAACGATTGTTGTTTTAAAGTTGCTTTAATTTTTATATATATAATTTAACGAGAATTAATACAGATATATGATATTATTATATTACTCAACAAAAATCTGTGAAAGTTCAAAATTATTTTATACGACTTGTGAGGGTAATAATTTTCGAAATAAAAAAAAATAAATCGATAATTACCTGCATGTCCTCCTGCCAAGAGAGGAACGATTCGCAGCTCACAAAATTTTCTTATTTTCAACAATAATCTCTTAAAGACTCAAAATATCTCTTAACAATCTTAACTACAAATCCACAAAATTTATCATAACAATCATAACTTTAAATTTCATTAATTGCTGAACAAAATTCCATAAAAAATTCTCCAATTAGACCTGGTTCCTCTAGTTAGTGCGTGTGTGTGATTAATAATTTTTCATATATAATAATTTTGACACAAGACAAAGTTTTATTTCTTTTTAATTATTCTCAATTTTTAAACGACGATAATTAACAAAAAAAACTTAATTAATAGAATCGACTCATAATGAACTCAAAATTTTAATTTACATTAATTAATTAAGACTTTAATAATTTATTGAATAAATTCACATTAAAGTAAAAATATTGGCTCTTAATAGCCGACGAATACTCCATGACTGCAAAAAAAAATAAAAAAATCGGAAAGAAACTTGTCGAGAAGCGACATAACCAAATTTTTATCTGAAACAACAAAATCGCGAATTTCATAATAAAATTCTCAAATTTTTTACTCATGAATTTTCCGAAATTATTTACTGAATTTAAATTTTACTGAATAATCAAGGTTATCTTAATAATTTGCCGAAACACTCGAGAGAAAATTCGTCCCACAACATGTGCTTGAGTTCGCCATTTTTTTTATTTTCTAATATTCAAAGTTAATTAATTTTTATTTTCCACTTTTTGGCCGAACTCGTATATTTTACAAAGAATCATGTTTTTAATTTTAAGAAAGTTTAGCTTACCTCGATATCAATTTACAATTTATTGGAGCATCTATTAAAATCTACCAATAATTGTTTTAATTTTTCCGATAATCGATCAAATCTAACAGACAGCACGATGTACAATGGGACTCGTCTTCCCTCTCAATTTTTATAACCACAAAATTACAAAAATTACAAGAAAACAGAGGGGAAACGTCGTGAGTGTCGTCCTCGGTCTATACCGTTGTCCTTCGACGCTGATTGGCTGATGTGTTTTCCTCGACTTCCAGAATAGTTACGTCGTTAGTCCAAGTTCAAATTTCACTTAATTAGAATTAACAATCAATCCAATTGACTTAGAGAATTTCCATTATCTTCTTGAATAAAATATTCGTGGCGACTCAACGTAATTTATAGATATGTTGATTTTAGCCAGGATCAGCAAATTCATCAAAATAATTATAATTGGCCTCGCGGTAATTTTTGAACCTCCTTCCAAGATCGTGAAGGCGGACCCAACAGAAATTTTACAGCGCCAAGATGGTGTAGCGGCTACCGGCAATAATTCAACAAGTGTGCCCAGGTGGCAACCAAAACAAACAACATAACCCCAATTCTGTTCGTAATAGCAGAACAGCAATTTTTGTAAGTTTATTTTTTTCTTTCGTAACAAGGTTGTTCCTCACGATAATCCATCGAAATTCATGGACCCCACGATGTCGGAACGGCTTAACAATTCGTAACAAAGTGTCGTTCCTCACGATTACCCCTCGAAAATTAGGGATCTCTCGGTTTCGGAGCGGCAATAAGTTGGTGTTCGATCCTTCCTTTGACTTATCTCAACAGTTCGGAGATCTCCTCGTCGGCGAAGGTGAACAGGGTATCGTAACAATATTTTCATAACAGTGACGGTCCTAATCCTTTCATAATTCTTGACAGGTTTCTTGTGATGTAGCTGAGTGACAATTTCTTTTAAATGAACATGGACTTGTAGTCTGAAATCGAGAATGGACAGATGTCATCTACGTTGGCTGGATCTTCTGGTTTCCGCTCGGATATATACATAAAAAAAATAAAGAAAAACGGCAATATCGCAACTAAAATTATTTGACATTTCTCGCAAAATTCAGTCATGGAGTGTCGCTTTTTCGCCGAATCGTGCTGTCGTGTTTTATTTAAATTTCTGATTCTCTACAACTTCTAAGTATTTTGTATTAACAAGATTTTGTGACGTGCACAAATTGCAACGTCACAGACTTTTGAGTGATACTACTGTGTTTTATCATCACTAGTTTACTGTAGTAGATTTCATAAGAGTTATATGACGTTTAATTTAATGTATTCAAATGCCAAATATTCAAACAAAGTGTTCCCTAATTCACTAAGATTCTATTTTATATATTGAGTATGTAATTTAGAAAATTAATAAATAGAGTTTTATTGTCATTAGTTTTTATTATTGCACTTGCGTGTTCTTTATTATTTTATCTACCACCTAATATTCAAAAATAATAATGTCAGGGAAAATTCTTGAACCTGTCATGGAAAAGTCATGGAAAGTCAGGGAATCGGGATTTATAAATTTGTTAGACACCCTGTGTTATTATCAGTTCTTTCCTGACAGCACCAGGACCATCAACTCTAATCATCCTCGCTATATTTTTTTTGTAATCTACACGAAAAAATTTATAAATTTGAATTACTTTATATAAAATTTTCTTAGTTTTTTGTCGAAAAATACATTTCTTTCCCTTAAATTATCATTTTTCTTTAAAAATTTAATAAAAATTAATCATTAACTCCAATCGTGCTCACGTTAAAATACATAAGTGTACCAAATTTGAGATCATTATGTCAAAAGATGTGGCCGCTAGGGGGGTACATAGTCATTTTTAGTACACAATGTACTATTTTTCACACAGTGTTATGTTTGGCTTGGGAGAATATTTTTTGGAAGTATTAAGGCAATATTATTTGGTAATATATAGGCAGCTCGTAATAAGCTAAAAGAAGTTTCAGAAATTATATATTATCATGTAACATTCAAAAGTAAGTTAATAGTCTACTAATTTATATGTAACTTTTTGTCTGTAGAAATACAAAGTCAATAAGAGTTTACAGAATTATAAGACTTAATATTAATTTAAAATTATTTGTACATTTACATCTAATTTACTTACCATATCATCATCAAAATCTTGTAACTGATGATCAGGTAGTCTTTCATAAACTACTCTTCCTAAACCATTGTTGCATGTTGTTTGGGCTGTAAAAAATAGTATATTATTATTTGTAGACTACGGTCAAAGTATTAGAAATGAGAATTTTATAAATAATAAATATCCCTATCTCCTTCAATTATACCTAAAGAGCAGTCAAATTAATAGCTCGAGACAATACGAGAGATTTGCCACGAGAGGCAATATGTCTCGAGATGAAATTTTAAAAAAATTATAGGAGTAGAAGAGGAATGTCAAACATAAAACTAATTATTCCGTGAAGCAAACAAAATCAAAATAGTTGCCAAAGATGCGCATAATTAAAACAATACTTCTCTCACTTCAAATTTTCAAAAAAAAAATTTATTTTTGAGATATTATGTTTAATTTAGATAATAATGTTTAATTAAAACATTATTATGAATGTAATATGTAATTAATATGTTTTACTATTAATATTAGTTAATTAAGCATTATTTCAAAAAATTTAATGCAATTAACATTGCAAAAAAGTTTAGACAAAACAATTAAGATAGCACATTATTCACCGTCCCTGTGACATAGAACAGTATCACACTCAGGTATCGATATAATATAATTATATTAAAATAAAAATTACAAAAATAAAAATGTAATATATCTAAAAAAAATAATCAATTTCAAAAATTCGAATATTTCAATTTTTATCATAAAAATCACTCTAACCTTTTTAAAAACTTATTACTTGTAGTAATTTCAATGTTTATTTTAATAATAAAATAAAAAATATACAGTTCTGTCAGTCATAAATAGCAATGTTGAATCCGGAATGTTGAATCCGGAATGTTGAATACGGAATGTTGAATACGGAATGTTGAATACGGAATGTTGAATACGGAATGTTGAATACGGAATGTTGAATACGGAATGTTGAATACGGAATGTTGAATACGGAATGTTGAATACGGAATGTTGAATACGGAATGTTGAATACGGAATGTTGAATACGGAATGTTGAATACGGAATGTTGAATACGGAATGTTGAATACGGAATGTTGAATACGGAATGTTGAATACGGAATGTTGAATACGGAATGTTGAATACGGAATGTTGAATACGGAATGTTGAATACGGAATGTTGAATACGGAATGTTGAATACGGAATGTTGAATACGGAATGTTGAATACGGAATGTTGAATACGGAATGTTGAATACGGAATGTTGAATACGGAATGTTGAATACGGAATGTTGAATACGGAATGTTGAATACGGAATGTTGAATACGGAATGTTGAATACGGAATGTTGAATACGGAATGTTGAATACGGAATGTTGAATACGGAATGTTGAATACGGAATGTTGAATACGGAATGTTGAATACGGAATGTTGAATACGGAATGTTGAATACGGAATGTTGAATACGGAATGTTGAATACGGAATGTTGAATACGGAATGTTGAATACGGAATGTTGAATACGGAATGTTGAATCCGGAATGTTGAATCCGGAATGTTGAATACGGAATGTTGAATCCGGAATGTTGAATCCGGAATGTTGAATCCGGAATGTTGAATCCGGAATGTTGAATCCGGAATGTTGAATCCGGAATGTTGAATCCGGAATGTTGAATCCGGAATGTTGAATCCGGAATGTTGAATCCGGAATGTTGAATCCGGAATGTTGAATCCGGAATGTTGAATCCGGAATGTTGAATCCGGAATGTTGAATCCGGAATGTTGAATCCGGAATGTTGAATCCGGAATGTTGAATCCGGAATGTTGAATCCGGAATGTTGAATACGGAATGTTGAATACGGAATGTTGAATACGGAATGTTGAATACGGAATGTTGAATCCGGAATGTTGAATCCGGAATGTTGAATCCGGAATGTTGAATCCGGAATGTTGAATCCGGAATGTTGAATCCGGAATGTTGAATCCGGAATGTTGAATCCGGAATGTTGAATCCGGAATGTTGAATCCGGAATGTTGAATCCGGAATGTTGAATCCGGAATGTTGAATCCGGAATGTTGAATCCGGAATGTTGAATCCAGAATGTTGAACCCGGAATGTTGAATCCAGAATGTTGAATCCAGAATGTTGAATCCAGAATGTTGAATCCAGAATGTTGAATCCAGAATGTTGAATCCAGAATGTTGAATCCAGAATGTTGAATCCAGAATGTTGCACCCAGAATGTTGAATCCAGAATGTTGAACCCGGAATGTTGAATCCAGAATGTTGAATCCAGAATGTTGAATCCAGAATGTTGAATCCAGAATGTTGAATCCAGAATGTTGAATCCAGAATGTTGAATCCAGAATGTTGAATCCAGAATGTTGAATCCAGAATGTTGAATCCAGAATGTTGAATCCAGAATGTTGAATCCAGAATGTTGAATCCAGAATGTTGAATCCAGAATGTTGAATCCAGAATGTTGAATCCAGAATGTTGAATCCAGAATGTTGAATCCAGAATGTTGAATCCAGAATGTTGAATCCAGAATGTTGAATCCAGAATGTTGAATCCAGAATGTTGAATCCAGAATGTTGAATCCAGAATGTTGAATCCAGAATGTTGAATCCAGAATGTTGAATCCAGAATGTTGAATCCGGAATGTTGAATCCGGAATGTTGAATCCGGAATGTTGAATCCAGAATGTTGAACCCGGAATGTTGAATCCAGAATGTTGAATCCAGAATGTTGAATCCAGAATGTTGAATCCAGAATGTTGAATCCAGAATGTTGAATCCAGAATGTTGAATCCAGAATGTTGAATCCAGAATGTTGAATCCAGAATGTTGAATCCAGAATGTTGAATCCAGAATGTTGAACCCAGAATGTTGAATCCAGAATGTTGAACCCAGAATGTTGAATCCAGAATGTTGAATCCAGAATGTTGAATCCAGAATGTTGAATCCAGAATGTTGAATCCAGAATGTTGAATCCAGAATGTTGAATCCAGAATGTTGAATCCAGAATGTTGAATCCAGAATGTTGAATCCAGAATGTTGAATCCAGAATGTTGAATCCAGAATGTTGAATCCAGAATGTTGAATCCAGAATGTTGAATCCAGAATGTTGAATCCAGAATGTTGAATCCAGAATGTTGAATCCAGAATGTTGAATCCAGAATGTTGAATCCAGAATGTTGAATCCAGAATGTTGAATCCAGAATGTTGAATCCAGAATGTTGAATCCAGAATGTTGAATCCAGAATGTTGAATCCAGAATGTTGAATCCAGAATGTTGAATCCAGAATGTTGAATCCAGAATGTTGAATCCAGAATGTTGAATCCAGAATGTTGAATCCAGAATGTTGAATCCAGAATGTTGAATCCAGAATGTTGAATCCAGAATGTTGAATCCAGAATGTTGAATCCAGAATGTTGAATCCAGAATGTTGAATCCAGAATGTTGAATCCAGAATGTTGAATCCAGAATGTTGAATCCAGAATGTTGAATCCAGAATGTTGAATCCAGAATGTTGAATCCAGAATGTTGAATCCAGAATGTTGAATCCAGAATGTTGAATCCAGAATGTTGAATCCAGAATGTTGAATCCAGAATGTTGAATCCAGAATGTTGAATCCAGAATGTTGAATCCAGAATGTTGAATCCAGAATGTTGAATCCAGAATGTTGAATCCAGAATGTTGAATCCAGAATGTTGAATCCAGAATGTTGAATCCAGAATGTTGAATCCAGAATGTTGAATCCAGAATGTTGAATCCAGAATGTTGAATCCAGAATGTTGAATCCAGAATGTTGAATCCAGAATGTTGAATCCAGAATGTTGAATCCAGAATGATTCTAAATTATTAAATTATCAGCAGAACAGGTACAATTTTAGTTGCTGAACATGTACATTTTCTTGTAGAAGATCTTTTAGATGGTTTTTCAATAGGGAGGTGTTTGCTTTTTAGGATAAAAAACAGTTGAAAGTAATTGACTGAGGGGTTATAATTTTATGAAGCAATAAAATTCGTTTAATATTTTAAAAATTTATAAGAATAATAAAATGTGTGTCAAAAATAAACTATAATATACATATAGGTCAAATTTTTTTTATCTTTCTGTTTAAAAGTTACAATCTTTAAAAAATCACTGTTTAAATTTTTTAAAAAGTTCAACCCCCTCCCTCTCCGACAGTTTTTAAAAAAACCTAACAATACTTCGTGGTTAAAGTACTCATCCCTAGGGCTAAATTATGTGCAAGTTACAACCAGATCCGATCAACTTTTTTTCACTTAGTACGCTACAAGAATTTTACCCCATATATATTTTTTTAACTTGAACATTATTATTTCTTAAATGGATGTCTAATTACCATTTGCTAAAAAATTAAATTCTTTACATTATTTTTTTTTTTAATAATTGGGACTTCGTCGATTTTGCACAAAATTGTTTCTTTCACAATTTCTTGTATTTTTATTATTTGCATTTTATTTTTGTATTTTTCTTTGGCCAGAATAATTTTTTTCCTACTCGACGCATTGGTGAAACAATAATACGATAATTTAAATCCTCTTCTACTACACCGGGAATCCACGTATTTTGCTAATTACCGCCAACCAATCGCCTGTTTGAAAAATCATTTCCTATAAATCCAAAATTAAATTTGAATCATCATTCCGTATTTCTTCGTCATACTTAAGGGGGTATGGTATTTAATATTTTTGCATTTTTTTTATTTTTTTAAATGAATGTATAATATTTCAAGAATATTGTGTAAAAATTTCAAGCCGATCGGAGCAAAATTGACCAAGTTATGAGCATTTGAGCATTCAAGTGTCGGTTGCTCCGCGGGCTGTGTTTTCGTACATTTTGAATTTAGTTTGTGTTTAACCTTTTGCGGACATTTCTGAATGTATTCCGATGTCATTGATGTGTACGTATAAGTTTTGGGGTCGCTGATTACGAATCTGAAGTCAGATTTCAAAAATTGTCAAAATTTAAAATTGCGTTTTTCCCGAAATGACTTTTTTAAAGTCCGTGTTCACGATATCTCAAAATCTACTGAACCAATCGTTCTAAAATTTGGTACAGTTCTTCTTGACTAAA